TTATATCTAACATATTACTATTTTCTACCAGATAGAGCCATTTTCTCATGCCTGCATGGGCCATGTTAATGCTATTTAAAAGCCAAACAAAATCAAGTATGTATCTCTGGCATTTTAAGACCTGGATATTTTATGGCTAAGGATATCAGATGATCTATTTTAAAACGGATGCTTAAGGGATTAAAAAAAGAAACAATTTATCAGAACCTTCTTTACTTTTCAAACTGAATTCCTTTCCACATCAGAAAATATCCATGTGGCATTACTCATCCAAATGATTTAATTGTAAACGCTTCAGAATTGGCTGCTTGTCTGTGAATTGAAACAATCACAATCATTAGTGCTTCTCCCTTTCATATTTGCCCCCTTTGTGAAAGCAATCAGAGGCAGCATCAAGCTGGCACACAGAGCCCAGTTGATGAATGCATTATTATTCACTGCCTCTCTGTTTCTATTGTCCTCGGGGTCAGAAGCGGCGTCGTCTCCATTCGTGGCTCGTCTCCTGGTGGCACCGGGGATCATCATCAGCCACATCAGAGAGAAGCAAACATTGTTCTTTGTTGTGAGGAGGTTGGCTGACTTTTATTTGGTGGTATCATTACCAGAAACGCCTCCAGTATGTTATTTTTGTCATGTTTGTAATGACACGGCCAGGACTTCCTTTCACGGTTTTATTGTGAGACCACACAAAACATTTTTCAGATATTATTCTCCTATCTGATTTGACATTACGCTGCTATTCCACCCTAATGATGTGTTTTCCTCCCTGGCCTTTCAAAACCTACACTAACAAATCTCAATAGAACCAGTTGTCTAATCTGATGTGTTCACAATGCTGAGCAGAGGAGGGCTTTGAATGACGATGATGGAATTTAATTACCATGCTTGCGGATTTAAAAGGATAAAAGTCTTGACTATTTATCATGGTTTTTTTGTTATTTGTATTCTTTAATGAGGAAGAGCAGGGGATTGTGCGCCTTGTTTCCACTCAGCAGCGGCTATTGGAACGGTAGTGTTATTATAATATGAGACAGAAAAGGAAGAGCAGAGCTGATTCATAATAGGCCAGGGATAGTGGATTTGGTATGTATGGCTGTTTGATGAGTGTTTGGGAAACTTGGGAACATTTGCATTCGTATTTTAGAGGAGACAATATTGTTTATGCTCTTATCCAACCTTAAAGAGGGTTGGCAGTTTATTTTCAATGTCTTTGGGGAAGATATGTCATACTAAACCTTCCAGAATGTTGGAAAAGGCAACAAATGTAAAGGCCTCATTCTGCAGCTCTGTCAGGCACTGTTGTTAAATGTATGTTTTATATCAGTTAATACGCAGAAATCGCCTACATCTGAAAGCCTACTGATGTCATACTCCTTCAAACACACCCACAAATGTGCTGGCTTGACTGAAGACATTGAGACGTCAGAAACTGAACATATTTCTACCATTCAAACTGCATTTGAAACATCTATCTCCGTTTGTGGTTTTGCAATTTCATCTGCCAAGCCCTTAGCATTGACTTACAATGTGGTCTCTGGGAACAAATGAATAAGCATGATTATTTCAGGAAAACTTACATTTTATATAATCCATCAGCAAGTAATGTAATAGTTTTTCGTTCACATAAATATAATTTGTTATTCTGGAAAAGATGTGCCTGCCTTGCATATTTGTATAAACCAATATAAACCTTGTGTTGAAATCTGTGTCCCTAGACTCCCTACCCCCTCATTTTCACTTACTCTACCCCTCTGCACCATACAAACCAAAAACAATATACAGTATGCATTGCACTGCAATTTATGCATTGCACTGCAATTTTCCATCCTTCCACTAGATGCCCTCAGAGTCTCATTCCCCTGCTCACCTGTTTCCACTTCCCTAATTAGCCCTGCACTATATAACCGGCCATTTTCTACTCATTCCAATTCTTAATGTTACTTCATGCCTCGCTTTCAGGCCATCTGAAGCCCAGAGCCTGCCAATCTGTGACATAATAGCCACTTTCACACCAAGTACTTAGCCATACTTAGTTCCCAGCACTTAGTTCCCCCATGGAACTATGAGCCGATCGCGTTCACACCGGAATAAATTCCCTGAGGGAAGATTACGCAAATGAAGCCGCTGGGACTCCCAGCAGCTTCTACTGAAGCCTTCCGAGTAAATCGCCAGAACGCCGACACCTCATCACTCCACCGCTCCAATGTTTTTTTTTGCGTTGCCATAAGTTATTCTCTCTCAGTTGGGGCGCGGGGCTAATGCTAATAATGCTAATGCCAGCAAATACAATGGCGGCTTCAAAAAACTTTTCCGAGTTTTACGGGGCGTGGTTTGCAATTCGCCCAGCCAATCAGAAATTGGAACTTTTTTCTCCCCAGGAAAGTACCAACTCTCTAGCAGGCACTAAAAAGGGGGTAAAAGTTCTCATGAACTAAGTTCTCTTTTTGGTATGAACGCAAAATCCCAGAAACTATCGGAACTAAACGGGAAAAGTACGGGGAAACAAATCAATGAACTCTTCTGCCATATGTTCAATCCCTACCCTGCATCGCACTCAGCTGCCTGACACTTTGAGGGACAGACAAATGTAAGTAGTAGCCTGCCACAGTGCGTTTTTCGGGGACTCTAAATTCTCAAAAATATCAGTTAATACTTATGAGTTTTACCAATGTCAGTCTCAGAAGCACAGTCAGTAAAATGAGGGGGTTTCACAAGAAAGGCCAGTTTTGGCTACATTACGCTGTTAAGCTAGCTAAGTTTGACTATTTTTCAAAGCATATGATACAAGACACATGCATATCTGAACAGGATGTAACTGGGTAACAGATATTATGGTATGGTTAACAACCACTTAGGGGCCTCAGCTGTGTCAGCCCCTGCCAGTTTGAAACTAACAAACAAATAAAAGATGCTAACTACACTAACCATGCTAACAGACCGATGTTGATGCTGGTCTATGCTGGTTTTTTCAGCAGGGTTAGCAGACTCCTTGTCTGAGTCATATTCTAATGGCTGAATTGTTGTACAATGTTTCCTCAAACATAAAGAAATTACACCAGATGCTGAAAATATTGTAGCAGTTTGCAGAGTTCCGCGCCATCTTAGAGCACACAGGTCTTCCATTGGTCTACCTAGAGCTAGCAACAGCAAGCAGGACTCTCAATGAGGGAGAAAGAGTAGATTTGCTTTCAGTTAATTTGAAAGAAATAATTGTTTGGGAAAACCCTGTTAAACAAAACATTAAGAATAGCGGTGTACTTTTTGTGGACTTTTAATAAGTGTAGCAAGAAGATGGTCAGTAATGCTGGATTTTAAGGTTACAGGTGGCAAAATCGATTATGACATTGTCTTTCCAACTGCAGGACAGGCATGGAAAAAAGGACCTTCAAGTTTCCCTGGTCCGGACATTATATTGTTTCCAGCAATGGTTTACAGTCATTTTGATACTGTCACTTTACATATCCAGACATTGATTCCTTCTGTAAAGAGCCCCACTATTCTCATAGTTGCCCCCTTAATGTTGACCGCTGAACCACTTGCTGCTCTTGTTTTATTATGTTCCGTGTGAGTGCAGACAAGGGGATTGCATGCTTGCTTTGAAAATAACACCCTGAAACAACCCTCTCAACAATGGCTGGAACTTGGTCAAAGCTTTTGACCCGGTAGATCGCTACTCATTATTGCCTTGCCTTCGGTTCTGCTCACTCCAGATTTAATAATGTGCAGTACAGAAAGCACAGACAACAAATGGTGCCTGCTGTTTGGATAAAGCTGCGCTCTGTCTGGATTTTTCTTTGTTTCCTGTAATATACTAAACATGGAACATATTCTACATTGTGTACACAATGAAATCTATCGAGTAAGGATTGAGTGGGTTTACGGTTGAAAGGATGCCCACAATGTATTTTATTCTCTAATAGTTTTCCAGTCACTCCAAATGTAGGTTTGTTGATGTGATGTCAGAGACCACTCACATGTCTTATACTTATGAGTCTTTTAATGGATTGTTCAGAAGGAAACACAGGAATAACAACTGGTGGATGAATAAAAGGGCGATAAAGTGTGGTTGCCTTCCTGGTTAGGAACTATTTACTCAATCAACAATGACTGTAAGCTAGCGACAGTGTAAGCAAACACCCCAGAGTCTGTGGTACCACGTACCAGTCAGGAAGGACTTGAGAATCCATGAAACCTTAACAATCCCAAATATAGGCCATGATCAACTCTTTAAAAATCAGGGCAGCACTTTAACATTCCAAAATTATTTAGTACACATCTGATATTTGGGCTTTTTTGAATCTCTAATTAATAAAATAATTAGCCTACATTAAACTTGCTGAACTGATAAACAAATTAACAAAAACACAAGCATTAGAATTGTTTATAATTTTCAGGTAATAACATTAGAAAATAAGGATTCACTATTAAATCAGGACTGTATGTAGCAGGTATTTTTTTTGTATTACTTATAAGTAAAGCCAATTTTTACAACTTACCTACTACCACAAGATCAAAACATACAGTATTTTGGATGGCAACTTTTATCTATGTAACTATGTGTTCGTTTTCAGTGTTTCCCTCGAGCCATGCTCAAGTCAGCTTTACGATTTTAACACCAGTTTTTCAAATGAGACCATGACTTCAGAATAAAAAAACTCTATCTTTACTAGAGATCATTAAAGATCAGTTACAACCAGCTGTGAAATTTCACAGTACTGTAAAGCAGATTTGAATAACAAATGGAGTCGGACAGCTGCAGTATTTCAAAGCTGCAGACTAATTGTTATTCTCCCTGAAAGCCACAAGAGAGCAGCATCACATCCCTCACTCTGTGGCTGCCGGCTGTCCAGATATCATCCCCCACTGGGATCCCCACAGTGATTCATCCTCCGAGCTGCTGGGACTGACGACTGAGTCACACAGCCCATCGCTCATTTAGCCGCTCAATATCCGATCCACACAGTGATGATCCCCCGTAAATCGAGGCATTAGCTTTATATTCACCTGTGGCACAGCGGGATTGATGGCTGCTCTGAATCCTCTCGCAGAGCTGCTGCACCAACTGGAGGAATGATGGGAAAATTAAACAGGGAGAATGTACTGTAGTTGGTGTAGTGGTTTTACTGTTTTTATTCAATAATGTATCCAAGTAAGTGAGGTACCATATACTATTAACAAAGTTTACACCTTTCTACTGCAGCCGAGGAAAGTAGTAAAAAGTATAAAAAGTGACATCCAGGTAAAGGGGCTGGAGTCCATCAATGTTCATGTTGGGTGAGAAGTCTTCCTGGACAGATTACCTGTCAATCACAGGGCTGAGGCACACAGAAACTTGCATTCACACCAATGGGCAATTTAGAGCCTCCAAATCTCTGAGGTGGCAAGTCCATTCATTGTAGGAGGACATAAAGGAAACTCACAGGGAAATGATAGCCACTTAATGGTGTAAATGAATTGCCACTCATTGTAAATAATAGGCTTGAATCATTTACAGTGATGGAATGTGGTCAAGTACTACTTCAGTACAGTTTTGAGGTTAATGTACTACTTGAGCATTTCCATTTGATGCCACTTTCTATCTGCATTGATGTATCAGTTCAATGGTCAATGTCATCCATGCATAGTGATAACATCAATACATATCATAATGAACATATGGCTTTTTTTTTTTAATTCAATGCCATTTAAGCTGCTGTTTGTGATTTGATATACATGTAACTGATTGTGGAAAATGGGCATTTGATTGCAGGCTGCTGAATTGAATGGAATTGAATTTTGTTTGTGGCCGACTTTGTAATTTAAAGATATTTTCTTCAATAAAAAATAAGTAGCAAAACCAACTGAAGAAAACAAAGTACAGTAAAAAACAAGAGATAAGTTAAAAATGCATTCTTTAAAAACACATAAGGATATCATAGATTCACTTAAAGAAAACATTTAAGGATCTTTACTTCCTATTGGTTTTGTGGCAAGTGTTGTGATATTAGCAAATATTGCGTCTTTGTCCAAACTTTTGATACAATACAGTTTTGTGTTTTACCCCTAGTAACCGGCACCTGTTGTAGTTTTAGGAGAAGCATGTCTATTGACTGTAGCAGGGCGTACAGTAGTGTGCATTTCAGTATTATTATGAGAAAGGTTGCTAAAATGTAAACCTGTTCACTTTAACAAAGAACCACAACACACTTTCAAAAATATTCAATACATTTGTGCCAGAGTGGGCCATTCACCATATAAAATCTTTAGTGTTATGTTTATTATAACATGTTTGACAGATCCTTTCTCTTCTGATGTTGGTTCATTTGCATACAGCGCCAAGATCACACCTGACATGTTGAGGTGTTACCTGCATTGTGCATTGTTGATGTTTTAGCTTTTCTCTTGAAAACATACACCAATAAATATGCACTCACTGGCCACTTTATTAGGTACACCTGTTCAACTGCTCGTTAACTCAAATATCTCAATGCATTTAGGCATGTAGACATGGTCAAGACGACCTGGTGAAGTTTAAACCGAGCATCAGAATGGGGAAGAAAGGTGCTTTAAGTGATTGGACGTGGCATGGTTGTTGGTGCCACACAGGCTGGTCTGAGTATTTCAGAAACTGCTGATCGACTGGGATTTTCACGCACAACCATCTCTAGGGTTTACAGAGAATGGTCTGAAAAAGGGAAAACATCCAGAGAGCGGCAGTTCTATTTTAAAAAAAAAAGGCCTTGTTGATGTCATTGGAGAATGGTGTTCAAGATGATAGAAAGGGAACAGTAACAAAGCCTACGTAAGTATTGTTGCCGACCATGTCCATCCCTTTATGACCACAGTGTACCCAGCTTCTGATGGCTACTTCCAGCTCGATAACGCGCCATGTCACAAAGCTCAAATCATCTCCAACTGGTTTCTTGAACATGACAGCGAGTTCAGTTTACTCAAATGGGCCCCACAGTTACCAGATCTCAATTCAATAGAATAGAACACCTTTGGGATGTGGTGGAACGAGAGATTTGCTTCATGGATGGGCAGCTGACGAATATGCTGAAACTGCGTAATTCTATCATGTCAATATGGACCAACATCTCTGAGGAATGTTCCAGCACCTTGTTGAGTCTACAGTATGCCACAAAGAATTAAGGCAGTTCAGAAGGCACAAGGGGGTCCAACCCGATACTAGCAAGGTGTACCTAATAAAGTGGCCAATGAGTGTATATATTTCAGGGGTATCATCTAGGGGCAACTGAATGTGAGGTATAACATGTAAACTTGTTGGGATTTAAACCAGTTGCTCTTGTATCTCTTCTTTTACAAACATGGTCACAGCTGCAGACATGTCATCCATCTTTTGAGTAAAATGTTTAGTTTCCATCTGATGGTATTTTAGTTTCACTTTCCTTTCAGATGGACATAAGCGATTTGACGTTGTGATAAGAGCCTCTTATCAGATGTGATGTGTCTGTTTGAGGGTGACACGTTACACAGCGCGATGATAAAACGCAGCATGTCTCACAGCTCAGATAGCATCAGGCTGCACAGCGAGCATGTCGGATGCTTTTCAGACACAAGACGAAAGGATTTCCTCTCCTCCCTTCCACCGCTCTGTTATGTAATGTGTTGGGCTATATCTGCAAAGTGTCTGGTGGTTTCTTGATCCAAATGAGTCGTGCTATAAACAAGCTCCATCCTCATCAATAATGGGTTGCCACTGTAAAAACCTTTGTCGCCCCTACTCTTCAGGACCGCCTCACCTAACTCCACATCCTAACAGAGCACTTATGTAAGAACATGGGCGGGTTCAGGAACTTGTGAATCAGGGGGCGGCAAACAAGACTTGGGCACAGATGTATAGAAGTGAAATGAGTACAAAATGTGAAGATGTTACATTATTAATTGAGCATAACATATCAATAAATATCTGCCATTACAAACAGTCTATATAGGATAAATATGTGGTTGTTTTAGTTTTAATGGTAATTTTGTCTTTTGTTTCTTTGTAGCTTTTCTTTTATCGTTTGTATCCATTGCCCGTCTCTCTGTGGTTCCTTTGCTTCTCTGTGGTAATTATGCATCACTTTCTAGTTTTTAAGCATCTGTTTTCGGCCGTTTTTTTGAAAATGATACATCTCTTTTGGAATTCTTTTTTTCTCTTTCTGGTCATTTTTTCCCTCTTTGTGGTGGTTTTATGTGTCTTTGTGGTTGCTTCAAAGTTCTTTATGATTTGTTTTCAAATATTTGGGGTCCCTCGGCCTGAACACTTGTGGCCAGATCAGTATTCCATCCCTGATATAAGCCAACTCCCTACTACTGTTTCACTCCGGTAAGGAGGGGGCACCATCGGATTCTAGGGGGCCCATCCCACCCCTTGCCACTCCTTTCTTTGGCACCGCCTCTGTTTAGCACACAGCTGACAATTAGAATGCCAACTGGGAGGATGGTATTCCTAGGGACAATGGTGAAATCAGCCCCCCTCCAGACCAGCCTGCCGGACCCCAGGCTTCATGCCAGACACGGTCCTGACATTATGACTGAGCACACAGTCTGTGGTGGTCACATGCCAATGCTGAGATGTTGCTGCTGATTTTAACTTTGTTTGCCATCCTGTGACTTGCACCCAGTGAAGGGATAGGAACACTTTGATTCAGGTATTTTCACTCAGTGAAACTGGCCGTTACGCTAACCTTTCCACTTTTGGTTTGGTAGGTAAATACTGATTACCACATTTGTACTGAGCAGGAATAAGACAGTGATGAACTGGCAGGTGTTAAATGCACGAGTGTTGGATGAGCTTGCACAATTTTTTCCATGTAGTTGTACACTTTATGAATACAATTATCTTGGATATACTTTAACTTTATTTAAAATGTTGAGGATCTACTTTAATTTCTAATTTTGAAGGTATACTTATGAGTTTGAGCTTTTACAATATCAGATCTTCACTGCACGATTATCGTCACCAAAACAATAACAATATCTTTGCAACCAGTAAAACTTTTATTTATTACGTATTTGTGTAATGTAGGTCGCTTGGACTGGAAGATAAAGCAAGAATGTAAAAAATGGAAATTATTTAAGAGCTGCTGATTTGCTTACAATATCACTTTCTATCCTGATTTATTTTGTAATTGCATCATGGCAAGTGAAGAATCTAGTGGTTTTGGTGGTGGGAGTAATTTGTTTTCTAATCTGTATTGTGCAAGTCAACTGACTGTGAACATTCTTACCCCAACCTTTCCAAAGAAAATCCATAAATGTAAGTAAACATGTACTGTCACCTCACCCTGCCGGTCCTGGCCTTGTGTTGACAATGGAGTTTGCTCAGCTTATTAGGATCACCTTGGGCCTTGGGCTAAAAGCTAGCCATCGGCATCCTCCCCTGCATTAGCTTCTTTGTTTTGCAGCTTACACCTCCAAAGCACATTAACCAAATGTCCATAATTCAATTGAGGGAACCTATTATGTTTGCTTTGGGTAAATCTCTTGTGTCGACCCACTCTTTGTCACACAACCTTTTGTGGCAGTAGCCAAAATATTTCCTAGGATATTATACTTTTTTTTTTCTTTCGACTTTTGAATTAATTGAACTCAGCCAATAGAATGATTCCGAATGTCTTGTGAAGTGATGAAGTTACCACAAGGTTCATTTAGTGGCTGTTCAGAAGCTTTCAACCATATTACACAATTATCCTCAGCAGATAAATTTTAAGTAGTTGTCATAAATGCTCAGTTTATATTAAATGTACTTAATTAATCATGTTATAACAAGGGTTTCTCCACTGCAGGTAGATGTATTAATAGAAGGATGCAGCAGGTGATGATGCTAAATGCATTGGAGATGCTATAGCTGCTATGGGATGTACTCTAGCTTTGGGTTGTACTATTATAAACTGTATCAACTATTTTTTATTATTTTGTCTCAGAAAATAAGCAGTGATTAAAAATCCCTTCCCAAAATAACAAAAATGTACTTTCCATTCCTTGGGCCTGCTCGATTTCCAAATATATAGAAATCCGTTTTATTTTTTTATAGTTCAGGCTTTGTGTGATGTTTTTTTATACTACAACACCAGTGATTTAAGAAAACATAACTTGAGAGATTGAATTATATAATGATTTGTGTTATGTTTCTTGGTAGTAACAAACTCTGTAGAGGACATTTCTTAAAATAATGTGTATAGATCACTTTTACACCCTGGAGCATTGTTTAAATAGGAGAAAACAACCCTACATGAGGCTGATTATTGTATTTATTTTTAATATCATTCTGGGAAAAATGTCCTTGGTTTGGAACGAAGAAGATCTAGTCAACATTGTACAGTTGGGAAATGTCTAAACTAATACTCGTTTTCTTCTTAGAAATAGGCGATGGGTGAGTGGGTGGGCATATTGTGGGGTAAAAATAAAGAGCAAAGAGAATGAGTCACCGTTCCCTCAATCCCAGTCTGGATATAAATACATCCACATAGACACACGTTACGTATACTCATACGCTTCTCCACGCGTGGCTGACATTACATAAACTGGAGCGTGGGAGGCGTGATGCGAGGCATGTATAATTCATCAATGTGGGAATCAACTGAGGGGTAGCTCTTATACCCAAGTGAGGCCCCGAAAACATCCTTAATGTTTTTTTTGGTTGAATTTGAAGCACGATTCTGCGTGAACGAAGCCGAGAAGCAGACTTGAGTGTTAAATCAGTCAGTTGATGTGGCGAGTGCGAAGTGACAGACGGCCCAGAGGCTGCAGCACAGAGAAGTTATCAAATATGACAGAAAGTGAGGAGGAAGATCAGATTGTCACAGTGGTGGAGCAGAAGTGGAGACATGAGGATGTATTCAAAAATCTCCCAGGACTTATGGGAGGATAGCGTCGCATATAGCAGAGTCGATTGGGTCTATTAGCCCTTATGCAATTCATAAAGATTTTTGCTCATTTTAAAAATCGGAATCACATACCTGTGTTCTCTTAGGAACCCTAACCCTATGTTGACTTTATACAATCTAAATGTACAAATATCCCCAAATCCTTGACAACATATTGTCGTGGTAAGCGTAAAGTAATACAGACGGTTTAGAGCATGGTGGTTACTTTATTCAGGCTTGTACTCTCCATGTCATTTGGTAGTAGCATGACCAGTTGTGACCACATCCGGTCTCATACATCCTGTTAGCTCTATCACAATAAAAACATAACAGCTAACACCATATCTCCCTTTCTTAAGAAAACAGAACAGACTGTCACATTTATATACTGTGACTCAGAAAATGCAAAATCAAGTGATAAACTGAAAACTCTGCAAGAACCTCAGAACATGTCATCACACTTCTTTCTGCACAATCACATAGCTATTTACTAAAAATTTCACTCTTAAGGCTTCTCATGAAAAATAACAAAAACAACCACTGAGTCAGGCAATATCTTTGTGAGCATAAGTGATCTAAACATCAAAACACAAAATTATTGTACATTCTTCCCTTTTCACATTGTCTTTTTTTTTTTCACATTCATTTGTCTCCCCCCCAGTTCACAAGTCCAGTCTGTGAGGTTTTACCACCACTCTGCCATACCTAGTGGTAGGGCCGTGTGTGTGTGTACGGACAGGTGTGTGCCCCTTGGGAGCCTGTGTTGGTGACTCAGGGCGTTCTGGAGAACCCAGTGTAGGCTCACCTGGTTGGGGTGGTGTGCTGGGTGTTGGAGTGTGAGGTGTGTGTGGTACAGTCTCTGGAAAAGGGACAAGATGGTGTCTGTTCCGCCTGATGGTGCCTGAAGGCCCGTCCACTATGTAGGAACGTGGAGCTGAGTGCGACGAAACCACTGTGCCTTGAGACTTTGTATCTGTAATCCACACTGGCTGACCTGGTGTGAGCTGACTTAGATCTCTCACACGGTGCCTTTTGTTGTAATTTGCAGTGTCCTTCGCCCTCCTCTCCCTTTCTTTAGCTGCCACAACAGTGCTGTCTGGAAGCTCTGGGGTGAGTAGAGAGGGATGCTGGGGCACTGGAGTGCGCAGTCTCCTACCCATGAGGAGCTGGGCAGGACTGTAGCCATTAGCAAGTGGTGTAGCTCTATAGGCCAACAGAGCCAGATACGGATCCTTAGCTTTCTTTAGCAGCTGTTTCGCAGTCTGAACGTGACGTTCCGCCTCCCCGTTACTCTGAGCGAACCTAGGGCTACTAGTGACATGTTTGAACCCGTAGGCTACTGCAAAGTCCTTGAACTGTTGACTGGAGTACTGGGGGCCATTGTCACTAAAAAAATTCTCTGGGACCCCATGTCTAGAGAATATTGATTTGAGATGCACAATAACATCCTGAGATCGTGTGGGAGTTAGTTTGGCAATCTCTACATACCTAGAGTAGTAGTCCACTACTAGTAGATAGTTATCATGGTTGAGTGTGAATAAATCAGAACCTTCTTTTTGCCATGGTCTCTCTGGGAGCTCACTGGACATTAATGGCTCCACAGGATTGCCACGCTCTTTGATGCATGTTTTGCAATTTCTCACCAGCTCGTCTAGTTGGCCGCTTTTTTTGAGCTCCTCTTTCACTTTGTCGAGTAGAGGGATGGGGACCCGTCTAGGTGTGGCCAGGGAATAGGGAATAGCGTCTGGCCTGAGTTTAATAGTGTATGGCTGCTACATCATACCTAAACCCTGACACAACTTTGGGTAGGACTCTTCCATCTCTGACTTGTCTATGCTGTCTGCTCTGTAGACTAGTTTAAGCTTTACACTTGCTGGTCTGCTTAACAAGGCTACGTTTAAGTCATTGACAACGTAAACATCCTCCTGTATCACCTGCTCTCCTTTGCATAGTGACTCTCTGTATCTGCCTAAAACAGATAGAAGCATGCGACCTGGGCCAAATAGTGGTCTGTCAGGCTTAGCTAACTGTGTGTTGCTCTCAGCAATGGCATAGTAGGTCTGGGCTGGAATAACTGAGACATCAGCTCCTGTGTCTATCTTAAACCTGACCTTATGGTCCCTTATAGTCAAATCAGCATACCATGGGTCTAAACCTGCATCTACTTAGCCTAGGAACAAGGAAGTGTCATCATAATCATCATCATCATCATCATCATCATCATCATCATCATCATCATCATCATAGCAACTTTCTGTTTCTAAAGCATGTACTGCTTTGGTAGATGTACATACTTTACTGTAATGACCTCTCTTTCCACATGCATGACATGTCACCTCTCTGGCTGGGCACTGTGCATTTGCATGACCAGGGGACTTTCCACATCTGTAGCATGAATCTCCCTCAAAAAGGAATTTTTTTTGAAATGTTCTTCTTCCTTTTTTGTTTTTCCGAGTTTTTGTCCTGGCCTTTTTTTTGTTTTTCTTTTATAAAAAAACCAATCTTCGCCAGGTAGAACCACCCTTCCCCCTTTTGTTTATTATAAGAAGTTTGAGTGTATTTTTTTTTTCCGCCGGGGGTTGAATGTTCTTTAGTACGTTTCTTAAATTATTACTTTTTACTCTAAAAAACTAACATATCTGATAATTATTTTTTTTTTTGAGCACTATTTTTTTTCTTCGTGTCTTTATATAAAATTTTAAATTTTACAAAAACTTTCTAACAAATAAGTCTCTATTTATAAGTATTTACAACTTTTTGTTTTAAATAAAAACCATTTGGGAAATTGGGTAATTTCACATCTCTCCCTTTTGAAAAAACCCTGTTACGTTCCAATCCTTAACCCAATTCATTCAAAAATTTTTACCACCCTTAAGTGTCAAACTTTTTATTAAATAGGTCGAAAGTCCCTGGGTCATGTACCGAGTTCGGACCCTATCTTTTGTTTTTTTTCCCATTTTTTTAACAATTTTGAAAAATGTTTAAATAGTTCTTCTTTTTTTTTGTTTACTATACAACAGGAAAACAACTAGAAGTTTCCCTTAGATTTAAATTTTCCTCAAAAATCTTCTACTCTTAATATAACCTTGCTTTTTCCGTTAACTCCTGACCCGACTTTTTTTTTTGGTTTCAAATTTTTTTTTAAAATTGCTCCTTGGGTTCAAAAAAAACAAAAGAATTAAGGAACCTTCCAACTTGTTTGTTTAAAAGTCAATAACACAAACAAAAACAATAAACAGTCGTAACGCACACAAACAACCCTTACAAAAAAATTTAACAATTTTTAAAAGACGGTAAAAGAAACATTAATTTTTCTTTTTTCGACTTAAAAGAATAAAAATCCCAGTACAGTTACATTGTGAAACCGGTCGGTTTTTTTTAGTTTAACGTTTCGTTTACATACATACCATACAATTGACCCAAATACCGATACAATCTTTTCCACCTATTTCATTTTCTGTCAAATCGGGTGGAAGTTCCTTCCCAAAAGGATCCAACCGTACACCACTAAAAAATAGTTTCACATATCCCCCAATAATCCAAAACCTTTGTCTTCTTTTTGTAGACCCTTAAACGAATAACGTTTTTTAATCTTAAACTATTGTAAATGCTTTAATTTTTCCATTTGAACGTTCTAAAAAAAACTTTGTTTTTTTAATAATTTTTTTCAGTTTTAAGTCCGTTTTTTCTTTTTATAAATTCTAAATGAATTATTTTTTTTTAATTTTCAAAACCCAAGGCTCACAATTTTTTCAGTGTAATTGCGTCTACGACGTTACTATACCCTCAGTTTCTCCGCAGGTGTGACTTGTAAATCTTTTTCTTCGACAAACTTTTTTTTCTTTTTATTAATTCTTTTAAAAACGTTTCTAGTTTTTTTCTTTTTTTTCTTTTGTCCGCTTTTTTTGTGTTTTGTAGGAGGTTTTTTTAGGGCCTTTTTGTTTTTTCCGTGTATTTTAAAAATTTCCGACCTGGCAATTTAGTAAAAAAACCGTTTTACGTGAAAGCACATGCAACGAAAATAATGTTTTTTCACAAGTTTCTTTTTTTGGTTGTTTTTGGGGGAGAAGATAAAAAAAGGAGGTAATTGGTTTTAAGAGAGAATTTTTCCCCCGAAACGTTTTGCCTAGACGTATGTTCCTTGACCTTTAGGTCCTAAAAAACTTTTGTGAAAGATTACCCTTGCAGTTTTTTTTTCTCTTTCTTCTTTTTTCACCGGCGATGCCGCGATTTTTAACGCCCGGTTTTGAAGGTGGTTTAGTAACCCTCCTTTCCTGTCGGTGCCTTTGTAAAAAAACGGCAAGCTTTTCGGCGAACCTTCTGCGCACCATCAAAATGGTGAAATAACGGTCCCGGACATCTTCCCCTTAACCAACACACGACCAAGAAGGGTCGTTTTTTTTTGTTCTTAAGTCGTGTTTTGGGGGTTAACGTTTTTTTTTCCTGTTTCACCAATTTGCTTCAAACTTTTTTGCTTTACTCCTTTACCCGATTTTTTAACCGTACTTTTTAGACAAATCCACTTTAAAACTTTTTTTTTTATTTTTTTTTTTTTCATGAAATTTTCTTTTTCATTTTTATTTATAAAAAAAAAAACCGGAAGCATTTTATTATTCCAATACCCCATAGGAATGTGAATATAATAAGTTGCTTTTATTAATCGGTTACTATTCCCAAGGGTTTGAAAATTTTTATTTTCTTTTCTTTTTTTTCGGGACTTTTTTTTTTCTTTAGGTTGTGGTTTTTTTTTTTTTTTTTTTTCTCCCAACAGGATGTTTTTAGTCGCATAGTCATTAAAATTGTTTAGACCATACCTTAAAATCTTTAAGGTTTGACCCAAGTTTTTATTTTTTTGTAAATTTTATTTAGGTCCCTGTTTTTCGAACTAGACACAAATGTTGGAATTTTTCTTTATTTTAGAGGTTCGGGGTCCAAGTAAATTCAATTTTTTAAATAACACTTTCGTAAATTTACAGTTTTTAAATAATTAAAACCAAAACTGAAGCAAAAAAGGGAATAAAAACGAAATTTTCCGCCTTATTTAAACACGATGGAAAGTCATTTTAGCTCACCAACCAAATTTTTATTTGTTTCATTGTAAAAATGTTAAAAAACTCCCTGAACATTTGAAAAATTGGTTAAAACAATTGAAAAAAGATAGAAATGTTTTGACTGGTTAAGTCCCCATTTTTTTTAACGTACAATGAAAATTTTGAGGTGATGGAAAATAAATTTCTTTTTTCATGCGAGATTCAATGAAAAACGTCTAAAACAATAAAATTACTTACAACTTTTTTATATTTAAAGTTTTTGTGAATTTTTAATCTTTTTGGAAAATTCAAAAAATGTTTTTGAAATCTTTCATTACGGGTAATTTTCCTTGAGGCATACACCCAACAAATCCCCGGAAACCAATACGACAATAAAACCACTAATTCACTTTTACGATTTCTTTCCCCTGTACACTAACCTCTGGCCTACACCAAGTTTTGTTTTTTTTTTTTTTTGAACCAAAGTAAACGATGAATTTGGTTCTACCTTGTAACTTTTCACTGTTCGGACTTAAATTTTTCATTTTGGTGGCTAACGAGAAACTTTGGTCCCCAACCCTTTGGAAACAAAGGGAAAGAGTTTCCCCGGTAAAGTTTAAAAAAAGGTTTTTTTTTTTTGTAAAAGGAAGGCCTCCCGCGCAAAATTTGTTTTTTTTTTTTAATAAAACTTTTTGAGAAACGGAAAAATTTTTTTCAATGAAAAAATGTTTTTTTAAAGTGTTCGGGTAAATAAAAGCCGGAAAGAAAAGGGTAACGACGAAACGGTTTTCTTTTTTTTTTTTTTTCGTTTTTTTTTTTTTTTTTTTTTGAGAAGATTTTTAGGGGTGTTGCTAAAACACAAAAACCCGTTTCTTTTAAATAAAAAAATCGAATTTCGTTCTAAAACGAAAAAAGAATAACCCTTAATAAAAGAAATGGTTTTTAGTGAGGGGAAGTTTTTTTTTCTTTTTTGCACAATAAAAGAGAGAACAAATAATCTTATTTTGTTTTTTTTTGAAAAAAAAAAAAATGAACAGTATAAATTCATAAAAAAAAATAAAAATGGGCAAAAAATGAAATAGAGAATAATAAAAAATATTTTTTGTTTTTTTGATATTGAAAAAAAAAAACCCCTTTTAAAGTAAAATATTGTTTTTCTAACGGCGGGAAAAAAATGGAAAGGGTGGACCCAAAAACCCTTTTCCCCCCTCTTTTTTTTTTTTTTTTTTTTTTTCCCCGGAAAAAGACATATAAAAAAAACGCCAAAAACTCCCGGTATTTTTTTCCGAATCCCGATTGTTGGGTTTTCCTTAAAAAGGAAATTTAAAAATTTTGGGTTTTTTTTTTTTTTTGTTTTTTTTCCAAATCAAACTGACAATAACCCCTAGGTCTAAAACCCCCTTGTTTCCCCTAAAAACTTTTGGTTTTTTTCCCCCTAGGCGGGCGGGTGACGCCGGAATTTTTTGGGTTTTTGGAATTTTCCCCTGGGGGGGTGTCCCCAAAAAAAAAGTGCCGTTTTTTTTTTTTTGGAACGGCCCCCGGTAAAAAACCCAAGATGCCCCCGAAGGATTTAACCCCCAAAAAAATGAAAAAACCCCGAACCCCTTCTTTCAAAACCCGAAAAACCCGGCCTTGCCAAAAAAATGGATCAAACGGGAGAAAGGGGCCCAGTCTTTTTTTGACTCGTGGGGGGGAAACCAGGTTTCCCCTGCCCTCCCTGTTAAATTTAAATGGTTTGCACCTTACCCCCCCCCCCTTGGGGGGTTTTGGGCCAAATCCGGAAGCCCAACAAAACACAAAAAAAAAGGGGGTTTTTTCCCTTTTAGGGGGACCCTGGGGGACCACCCGGGTTTCCCCCTTTTGTTTTTTTTGCCCCGTTGAGCCAACCCGAAAAACAAAATTTTTTAAAAATAAAACGCCCCCCAAGATTCTTTAAAAAGAAATTTTTTTAAAAAAAAGAAAAAAAAACCGCACAAAAAAACTTAAATTTTTTTTTTTTTTTTTTTTTTAAAATTTGGGGGAGGCCTTTTCCCCCCCCGGAATCGGTTTTTTTTACCCAAAAAAGAAAACCCCCCCGGCCAAATAATTTGGCCCGGGGCCCCCGGCCCCCCTTTTCCCCCCCACAAGGGGGGGGGGCGTTTTTTGGGGAACCGAAGGCAATTCTTTGGCAGAACCCAAAAATAAAATTGAAATCTGCGAAAAAAAAAACTTGTGGCCTTTTTTTTTTATTGTTGTAAGACCACCCCCCAGGGTCCCCTTTTTTTTGCACCCCCCCGTCGCCATTTCTCGACCAACTTCAACCTTCTCTTCAACACCTTTCAATTGCAGACGTTCGCCGTTCTACAATTCTGCTGCCGACTCGACGTCGACGTGGCCGACGTGTCGGAGGTGTTGGATCTGGGAGGTCTTTTTGTGCGCTAAGACGCTAGCGTCCTTAAATGGCGTATTATCGTTTTACCGGCGTCTAAAGTTTTCCGGCGTCATAAATAGTTTTCCGGCGTATTAGGGACGTAAAAGAGGCTGTGTTTTTAACTCTTTTTTTTTTCAATTAGCAAGCAACTGCACTGCAGTAGTCGAGCGCGTAGTGTCTTACTTTGTTGTGACATATCTCACTTGCACACCCTCAGGTGTGCTATCTCTTTCTTGGTTCGTACTTTTATAGATTAGGTCAGAGGTAAATGGCTGCTTTGTAAGATGATTTCTGGCCCGTTTTTAAACCCCCTTTGATAAGCGTGGGGCAACACGTTGACCAACACAACCCTCGTATTCTCCGTTTAGCTGCCACCTGCTGGGGTGAACTAAGTAAGTTTGTAAGCTTTTACGAAAGACGACGCACGCCTGTTCGTTTCGTGTGTTGTTGAGTGCAGTGCTCGCGTAGTTGAGGTTCTTGGGAAAGCATTCCCGATGTTCTTTGCTGCCACTCATCGGATGTCTAACTTCGACGTCTTTGCTTGCTATTTACGTTTTTGTCTTACCTCCGCCTCTTCACACACACACAACACTGACCACACGCACGCACTCTAATTTTATCGGGTTAACGAAATGTTATTTATTTTGTTAACTTACACAAATTTAAAGTTATCATTCTCCGCAAATTGCAATCCCGTTCCAACACACAGCTCTCTCTGTATTATTCTGTCCGGGTTATAAAATTTTTTTTTAGCTATTAAAAAAAGGGCTATAAAGCCGTTAAAAGGCGTATAAACCGTTGAAGGACGCTCACCAAGTGGGCGTATTTTAAGTGTATGTTTGGCGCGTACACCAAAATGAGGCCGTATTTAGTTCCTAAAGATCGGGCGTATTCAGTTCCCTTAAATCGGCGCGGTATTAGTTCTAAAAACGGGCGCGAAAAAGACCCTGTCCCAGATTGTTGGAGGGGTTCGACCCGTCCGATTACCGATTGCGAAGGAGGCTCGCGACCTCAAGAGTGGTAGGTTGGTGGACTTCGTAAGCTAGTCCGTGACCTCGCTACCGTATGCCTCCAAGCTTCTAAGTCTGTACCGGTCGTTTGGAGGTAAGAATCGTGTCTTCGATTGGTCTACTTTGTGCGATAGATGACGTGACCCCCTATTCGTCTGCTTGTAGGATGCCCCAGTAGCTAATAGGCTGCGTGTCTCCTGTCGCATGTGAAGCCATTTTCGGTGTGAACTTTGTATGACAACACAGGATCTATTCTTGGCACTATATACTCTCCGTTCTAAGTTAGTCCTCTCACGTCGTTTGGGTTTTGCTCCGACATACTTGACGAGTAATGATACGTAACATACGGGATCGTCCTTTTGACGTTTATGCCTCGTGAGGCGCTGCTCCAATTATTCTCTGGCCGAGCATCACCCCAAGTCTCGTGGTCAGATCGACTCTCCTACGTCAATTTGTTCCTAACATGCGAGCTTTTTCGTCAGTTATACCGGTCCATGTCAAGGCTTCATCTAATTTCCCGTCGTTATGTCTTGGAGTCTCATCCCCCATCTTGGGACCCTGTAACTACGTAATGTTTTCCGTCTTCTGTTTTGGGTAAGTGGGGTTTCAGGGGGGTAGTTGGTTACGTGGGTAGTTGTTTTGGGTGTCGGTAGTAGA